CCCCTTCCTATCTGTTGCCACCCAGCTAGGGGTTGGAATGGAGGCTTCCATACTGTAAAGCTCTTGAATGTTTCTAAATTTAACATGTTAGGAAAATGTGAGACTCTCATAGCCAGACACTTTTTTTTAAGTGCCACAACTACATTGTGAATATTACATGCATGTTGTTGCTTTATTAATCACTGAATTCAAGGTAAGAAATCAATATCTGCTCAAAAAAAAACTTTTTTTCATGTTTGTTATCATAGCTGAGACTAGGCATCTTTTTATAATATGAACTTTTACAGAATACTTGTAGCTTAAACATGTTTTTTTATTTCATCATAACATTTCTTTATGAAAATTTAAAGTTTTTAAATAAGTTTAATTAGCTAATATTTTATAAAAATTCCACCTTTACTTTAACAATAGAAAATTCTACCAGTTTAAAAAAATTTATTTCTCTAGTTCTGTTTTAACGGACATCAAAATTATTTGTTATTATAAACAGTGTTATTCATTCTAAACAGTGACTGAAATGTAATATTTTGTTTTAATCATAATTTTTATGAATTATATTTCTATATTTTTATTGAATTTTGAACCTGAAACTGTCAGACATTCTAAAACATTATAATTAATATTATATAATGACCCCACTATTTTACATATATTTGGTAATAATGTACGTTCCCAAAGGCATGTAATGTATATAAATATATAATTGGAGTTGGGGGGGGGGGGCAAATGGGTGCTGTAACCATGTGTTAAAGATGGAGGGGGCAGCTTATCATCTGATTCTTATGAATATTATCTCATTACTCTTAACACTGTCATCTTTTATTAACCATCACAAGCCATGCAGCTATAACAAATGTTTTTGTGTGCTTATCATAATTTTAAATTAACACTTTCTACAGACTTTAACAAACAATTTTGATCACAGTTAAGAACAGTTCTTTGTAATAAAATATATGTAGGTACATACATTAATATATAAAATCATATAAAATGATTTTTTTTACATCAAAGAAAGCTATGTAAGGTTAATTTTTGCATTAAAGAAAGTTATATAAGGTTAACTGTTACATCAAAGAAAGTATATTCATGAAGGTTTTGCCTTTAAGATGTGTAGGTCACCAGCATGTTGGACCCACTGATTGGGGTGGGGAAGGCAAGTTTTAGGGTGGCTATAGCACTTTTAAAGCCCCTTCTTAGTGCTGCCCCTGATTTTAAACCTTTCAAATGCTTCCAAATGCAGGAAAACAAAACAAAATGTTTGGTGTGTGATGGATTTCAATTTTCCCTTGTGACCAACAAAGTAGTGAGATGTCTTTAATATTAGTCACTAAACACAGTATGAGGAACTCTCCCAATTCTTTCAAGATGTATTGTTTTGAGTTATGAATATGCCAATATTTTGTTAGTGCTTTATCATGAACTTTAAAACACATTTCTTTGTAAATGTGTATTGTTCAAAAATTAGAATTAGAGACTAGTTTTCTTTTAAAAATATGTTTCAAAATTTTTTATGAGTCAAATTGTTTATGGGTTTGTGACTTTGATGATTACAGAGTCCCTAATAACATATGAGCCATACAAAGACTGTTAATAAAAAATACCATCAATGTTATATTTATTCCTACTAATTACTGTGGAAAATTGTTATATATTTTACATTGCAAATAAGTAACTTAGTTGTTGAAGTTATATGACTAATATGTAGATGTTAAAAATATTTTGTATACTCACTGTTCCTAAGCATCTAATTAGTGCCTAAGCTTGCCTGATATTCAGGTAGTGGCTTGTTGATGTAAGGCAATGTTCAAGTTAAATAATAATATCAAGATGAATTATGGCATTATACAGCATTTTTACATTTTAAAACAAATTTCAGTAGAATATTATCTGTTAATTGAATAACTGTAATGTAACTAATTTCTGAGAAGGTTAATTAGTTCTATCCTGATAAAATTAAATGTTGTGTTTAGAATAGCTTTAAGATAATCAGGTGAGAAACAGTGGAGTAACCTTTGCATAATTGAGCATTTATATAGATAACTGAAACAATCAGGTTAATTGATAGAAAAACAGCTTTAGTACTTCTGGGTTAGATTAGAATATAATAGAAACATAATATCACTACTTGACAGTATAATAGCTCAATTAACACCACTAGGTGTAATTAGAATATACTATCATTCAAATTATTGGTTTTTTTCAGTAGAATAGCTTTTAAATGTTAGGATGAAATATGATTAAATTTGTCTTAGCACAGATATGATAAATGACAGTACAATAGTTTTTAACAAGTCAGTTTAGACAATTTTAAATGTGTTTAACATAATAAGGTACAGTAATGTAGGATACCTATCATATAAGTAAACAGTTAAATAACCATAATCCAGCTAGAATAAATTACATTGGAATATTTTTAACACAGCTTCAATAGCAGTAGAAAGACTTTAACATAATAAAATTCTATAACTTTAGCTTGAATATAATCAGGCTGTATGTCAGTACAACAAATTTGGCATATTTTTGGTTGAATTTCAACTGAAATAATTTTAGCACAATCAGGTTAAGTTATAAAATATTTTTATCATAACTACCGTATTTTTCAGAATACAAGATGCACCCTTATTTTGAAGACAAAGTTTTTGGGGAAAAAAAGCTACAGTTG